GACTGCCTCTGGGGAGTGAGGAGGGAGCCCGGATGAGGGTACAAGACAGTTGGTCCACGGGGACTGATCTAAAAATGGAAGTAGGGCCTCACTGTTCCGCCCAGGTGATTCTGCCCGTGGCCAGGCTAGCACAGCTGAGACTGAGGCCTTCTCCGGTTTGGCTTAACCCAAAGGGACATGGTGGTAGGACCTCCGGCATGCCAGCCAGAGTGGCTCCCTGTGCACCAGCTTTGTGACCTTGGGGAAGGCTGATCCTCAGTTTCTTCATCTGTCAGATGGGCCCTATTGCCCACGTTGGGGAGTTGGTCCAAGGCCAGCGTGGGACAACGCAGCCACGGAACAACACGTGGCACCCCCAGAGGAGTGACCACTACTGTTCCCCGCCAGGGAACCCACCCTGGTGATGCTCGGGCAAACCCACCCACAGACGTGGCTTGTTTGGTCTGCAGAGTGTCAGAAACTTGGCAGATTTAAGCACCATCAGGCAGGGGTCCTGAGCCTCTCTGCTTCCGAGACCCCTGCCACCCCCTGTGGTTTCCACATTAGCCCGCTTCTCTCTTTTATCTGCCCGGTCCTGTGGGCACTGGAAGTCACACCCCTGCCCCAACCTGCCCCCTTCTCTCTGTCCCCTCCCAGCCAGGCTTCTTGGAGAGAGCCGAGGTCAGACGGTGTTCTAGACAGTTCACGGACAGTAAACAAGCACCTTGTGGAGACTGGGCATCTCACTGTGGAAGCCAGGATGCCCACCCCCTGACCGCCCCAGCCTGAAGGCCTCCTAACCACTCCATCACCTCTTTCAATGAGAGCGTGTCTGTCTCGCCAGATGTTTCCATGGCGGCAATTTTGCGGAACTAGTCATTGAAAGCTGCCATGCTATCCTTCTCAAATAGCTATTTCCTGATTAATTCACAGCACGCACTTGCTCTGCGCTTCCACTAACCAGAGAACACATCCATATAAACATGTAAAGGAGTGCTTTGAGAATCGACTTTTCTGACAGGCAGCAAATAGTAGCTTGCCATCCAGCAATTGGATGATTGAAGCCGGCTCCCTGTGGTGTAACACAGGCTTGAGGGTTCTCCTCCTACATGGCTGCGGAAACCTTCGTAGCAATAACTTAGTAAACTAGAAATGTAGTTGGAGCTTATTTACCTGGCTTTCAGGAAGGCCGGGGGATGGGGGCTGGGATAAGTACAGGTGGGCACCTCTGGGGTCTCAGATCCCATGTCCCAAGAGCAGAGCAGAAGTCAGAGCAAGATGGAAGATGATCTAGGGTTGAAACCAACAGGCTACCATTTTTCTGATCAGGCTTGTTCTCTGAAGATAGTTAGAGAGCAGTGTCGCCCAAGAGTGGGAGGGGAAAACCTGTGTTTATTCATTTATAATTCCAAAGGGATTGTTGAGCCGCTACTGTGTGCCAGGTACTCGCTGGGCCCTTGGATGAGATTGGTAGGGCTTCTGCTGCTTGGAGCTTAACTTTGAGTGGGGAAGATAGTAATTAAGTTAAAAAGCTGATATAGCCAAGACATGGAAGCAACCTAAATGTCCATCAACAGGGGACTGGATAAAGAAGATATGGTGTATATATATATATATATACACACACACACGATGGAATACCACTCAGCCATAAAAAAAGAATGAAAATAATGTCATTTGCAGCAACATGGATGAACCTAGAGATTATGATACTAAGTGAAGTAAGTCAGACAGAAAGAGACGAATATCATATGATATCACTTATAGGTGGAATCTGAAAGAATGATACGATGAACTTACTTACAAAAGAGAAACAGACTCACAGACATAGAAAACAAATTTATAGTCACCAAATGCAGGGGTTAGGGGGTAAATTAGGAATTTGGGATTAGCAGATACAAACTACTATATATAAAATAGATAAACAATAAGATCCTACTGGCTAGCACAGGGAATTATATTCAATAGTTTGTAATGGCCTATAATGAAAAAGAATATATGTATGTATAACTGAATCACTTTGCTGTACACCAGAAACTAACACAACATCGTAAATCAACTATATTTCAATTAAAAAAAAAAGCTGATAGACAAAACCATTTCAGAGGCCAGAAGGAAATAAAACAGGGCCATGGGCTGGATGGGGCGGGGACTGCTCTAGAGAGAGTGGCCAGATCTCTCTGAAGACGAGGAGCCAGCCTTGCTGGAATCTGCGGTAGAACATTCCAGGCCAGTGCACAGGTCCCCAGGTGGCCTGAGCTTGGCAGGATCACAGGGCAACAGCCACAGCCCTGTTGAGAGCAGAGCGGGGAGGGGAGCGTGGTGGGAGCAGGGGTCAGAGAGGTCGTCAGCAGGACCAGATCATGCCGGCCTTGTTGGCGCCCGAAGGGAGCTGGAATTTCTTCTCCTTTTTATTGTGTGTGTGTCTTTTTTTTAAACTTTTTTTATTGAGTTATAGTCATTTTACAATGTTGTGTCAAATTCCAGTGTAGAGCACAATTTTTCATTTATACATGAACATACATATATTCATCGTCACATTTTTTTTCGCTGTGGGCCACCACAAGATCTTGTACACACTAGGAAATCATTGGGTGGTTTTAAGCAGGGGGCTCCTGTGATCTGATTAAAGGTTTTTTTTTTTGTTTTTTTGTTTTTTTAAATAAAAGACCGGCTGCTGGGTAGAAAGTGAAGTGTGTGTGCCAGGGTGGTTGGGGGTGGGTGCATGACAGTGCAGAGAGGAAGCAGACCAGTTAGGAGGTTACGGTTAGGTTAGTCGGTCGGTCGGTCGTTGTCTCCGGGAAGGGTGATGGTGGCTCCGGGCCAGGAGGCAGCAGCCATTCAGGGAGAAGAGCTCAGATTTGGGAGGGGTTTTGGAGGTAGAGCCTCAGGACTTTGGACTGATTGGATTGTGCGTGAGAAAGCAAGAGGAATCAAGGACAGGCTCAGGGCAGCTGGTTGGCTGGTGGAACCATTTTTAAGATGAGAGAAGATACAGTTCTGGGAAAGCAGGTTGATAACTGTCTGGGGCGTGTTAAGGTTGAGATGCTGGTTAGATATGCATGAAGAGAGGTCACGTGGTCACTTGGGGCTGGGTGGAGAGGTCAGGGTTGGAGGTAAAAGTAATCGGGAGTCACCAGCACAGGGATGCTATTTAGAGCCTCGGGCCTGAATGGGACCACCCAGCGAGAGCGTGCAGGGGAACTGGCCCAGCTGCAGAGGAGGAGGAGCGGGGTGAGAACAAGGAGGCAGGAGGAGACCCTACCTGAGGACTGAGAATTGCCCAGTGGATTTGGCCACCTGCTGAACCCAAAAATCAGTTGTCCAAACCAGGTGACCCGTGAGAGTGAAAAGAGGGCTCTATGAGTGACAGACCAGGACAATGGGAGCCAATCAGAATCAGCCCAGACAGTGAGTTGTCACCCCAGCTCTGGGTGCCCTTGGCTGAGTGGGTTCCTGTAGAGGAGGAGGCAGAGGCCAGCTGCAGGGGAGGAGAGGCAGCTGCGACAGTGACTCTCAGATTGTGGGGGCACCTCAGAACAGACTGCTTGCTCCTCAGCCATGAGAAGGAAGAAAATGATTCATTGACACAACACGGATGAACCTCAGAAGTTACTATGTTGAGTGAAAGAAGCCAGAACCCAGAGACTTCATAGTGCGTGATTCCTTTTATATAAAAATTCTAGAAAATGCAGACTGATCTACAGTGACAGGAAGTTGCTGGGTGGTTGGCTCGGGATGGGGGGGGTAACGGGGGAGGGAGGTATTACCAAGGGGTGTGAGGGAAGCCCGGGGGTGATGGGTGTGTTCATCGCCTAGATCGTGGAGATGAATTTATGGGTCTATCCATGCCGAAACTTATAAAATTGTGTACTTTTGATATGCACAGTTTACCAAATGAGGTATATTTTATATTCTTTGATAAAGCTGTTTTTTGAACATGTTTTTATGTAAAGAGGAATAGACTAATAGGGCAGTATGGGGAGGAGGTGTGACTTGATTTGAAATATGACCAAAGAAGCGTTGCACACCAGCATGCTATGGGGCGGAAGTTTTGGGAGAGAAGGAGACAGAAGGCTAGACAGGGACCCTTTTGTAAAGGCTATTGTGTGTCATGCTGAGGAATTTGGAATTCATCGCATGGGCCTGGGGTTCTCCACCTTCTGTGCAGTCCCAGGCGTGCTGACTGGGTACCACCTCCAGGGCTTCTGGGCTCTAAGCCTTCTGCTTGGATCCTTTTCCCAAAGCCACTGGAGGGCTCAGCTTGTGCATAGGATAGGCAGTCGGTGCCCCCGGGGCAACCATCAATGGCAGAGAAGGGGGTCAGTGGATAAACACCCAGCCTCCTACCTTTCAAGGGACACGTCTGAGGTGCGTTTTCAGAGTCCCCTAGCCTGCTGGAGCCCCACTTGCCCACAGCAGTGACTGTCTCAGAAAGTTTTTTGGGTTTTTTCCTGCCCCATCTGGCTCTTTCTCTAAGAACACCTGCCAGTAAGCTACCTGTGCTCAAATCCTTGTCTCAGGCTCTGCGCTCAGGGCCCCCTCAAAATATGGCACCTGGGGAATCCAAGGAGTTTGCATTTTCTGTGCCTGCCAAGCTTTTCTGCTGCAGGAGGCCCAGGAACCACATTGTAAAGGATGCTGCTATAGGCAGTGACAAAACAAAGGATTTCACAAAAGGGTGCGACTGGGCCCAATCTGCCCTTGTAGAAAATTAACTCTAGTGGCAATGTGAAGTTGAGGTTGAAGTGGCAAGAGACAGGAAGCAGGGAGACCAATTAGCAGGCTATTACAAATGTCCCAGCAGGAGGTAATGATGACGAAGGTGGGGATGGAGGCCTTCTCTTCGCCACTGTCCTTTGATTTACAGCGGACGCTAACACTCTGCACAGAAATGAGACTGATCCTTACTTCACAGCCCCAGCACTTCTGCTTCCCTTCCTTTCATCTGCTCCTTTCAAAAATCTGATACATCAGTCTGATGCTGCACGTCTTCATTTTGTGAAATTTTGTGTTTTCAGGATCTTGACATGGGAGCCAAGAACGTGAAGCTTTATGTCAACAAAGATCTCATCTTTGATGGCCAGTTAGACAAAGGAGGTGGAGAGGCCCCCGCTGACCAGAGCATCCTGGTGGGCCTGCAAAACGAGAGAATGGAGAACAGCATTACCACCCACTCGGAAGAAAGCAAAGGTGCCTGCAAGATGGCTGGCACAGACGGGGACGAGATGCTCGATGTCAGCGATGCGCAGCCAGCTGGAGCAGCGGAGGATGTGAAGGTTTCTTCGCCAGGAAATTTTTTTGGTGAAAGGATGAATTCTCCAGATTGCACGGAAGACAGTCTGTCCAAGTTAGAGGAAGACTTCAGCTTTTTAGCTGCCCCAGCCTCGCCGGGTGGCATGCCCAGTGCCCCTCCACACTCTCCACCTGGGGAATGCCCCGCTCCCCTTGACCGGGAGCTCTCACTGATCCAACAGCTGGAAAACCTCACGGGCAGAAAAGTCTCTGAGCTGCCAGGGAAAACTCCATCTTGGTTACAACCTTCTCCTGCAGGGAAAGGCCAGAAGCAGGGAGGCCAGAAATCAAAACCCCTCTGGCTGAGCCCGGAGAAGCCGCTAGACTGCAGAGGTAGGCTTCTGTCAGACAACGCCATCCTTGAGGGGTCTGAAGAGACCGAGGCCCAGGATAAAGGCCCCAGGCGTGAGCAAGGGCGGACAAGCAGCTGGAATGTCATTGCCAGTGAGAGAGCCCAGAGGGCAACCCCCAGAGTCTGCAGTGATGACTTCGACATCTTTAACCAGTCCTCCCACAGGGAGCATCCTGCTAGTGGGAGGAGGGGCCTGAGGAAGGATGCCCTCAGTGGCAGTCATGGTGACAGACAGCCAGCCAGCAGAGGTAAGCTCCAGAAGCAGTATGCCTTAGGGGCCGTCATCCCTGAGCCAGGGCCACTCACAGGCTCCCTGGACCTCAGTTTCCTCATCTGCAAAATGAGGGGGTTCTTCTCAACCAAGGGTCTCAAATTCCCTGTCTCATGGGCCATAGGGGTGGCAGCAGTGAGTGAAATGGACAAGACACACTTGGCATGTGAACCTCATAGGTATATTTGTCATTGCCTCCAAGATATGTTTCTTTGTCTATTTTTCTTGCAAAACATGGCTTTTCCAATCTAGACTCTCATTTCACCTCTGATAGAGACACTGGTCTCTAATTACATCACTTTTCTCTTAACGGTGCTGTTAGAAAAATAACACAAGTGTAATATAAATAGCAATTGATTCTTGCCTGGGAGTAGGGAGTATTATAGGGAGTGGTGAGGACTGTGGCAAACTGGAGAGCACAAGCCCACCTAAAGGGGGTTTTTGGTGTCAGGAATACACGGCCAGTATGCCAGGTCTCCCTTTTCCCTTTATCAAGAGAAATCTGAAGTGTAGAATATTCTTATTTTTCAACACTGGCAATGGATAGAGTTTATTTTTAAACCACTGTGTGGGTCAAAAAAAAAAATACACAACTGCTAGCAGGATTCACCTGCTCTGTGAACTTTGCAGTAGATTATCTCTAAGAGATCTGAAAGGAGGTGCTAAAGGCTGGGTTTCTGACTGTTTGCACTCAGATTTGGCTACTGGGATAGAGTGTAGCATAGCAACTAGGAGTCAAACTATTTGGATTCAAACTCTGCGACTTATAAATCTGGAACCTCTAGTCTGGAACCTGTAGAGCCAGGCACATTGCTCAGATGAGCTCATTGAATCCTCACAACAGCCCCATCTTACAGATAAAGGAAATGCGAGGTAAGACAGCAGAGAAAGGTGGAAGGTTCGAGATGGTGGCATAGGAAGATCCAGCTCTCACCTCCTCCCACAGACACAACAAATCTACAACTATATATGGAATAATTTCCTCTGAAAACTGGGTGAACAGTGTCTCCTAAGACAGAGTAAAAGGACAGCATCAAGGCCGGTAGGAGAGGCAGAGAGATGATCTCATTAAGGGAAAAAAACCCACACCCCAGCCATGACAATCCACAGATAGGAGAGATCACAAAGGCAGTTATTCTCCTGGGGACTGAGGGATCCATGCTTCACATCAGGCACCCCAATCCTTGGATTCTGCACAAGAGAGATGAGCCCCCAAAACTTCTGGTTTTGAAAACCAGTGGGGAATACACTCAGGAGAGCTACAGAACTGCAGAGAACAGAAGACTTGCTTTTAAATTGCTCACTCACAGACTCACTCAGCCTGAAAACCAGCACAAAAACACTGTTTTTTTTAAAAATAATTAATTAAAATAGGCTAAATTCACCAATCAAAAAACAGAGAGTGGCAGAATGTATTAAAAAAAATAGCACTCATCTGCATGCTGCCTACAAGAAACTCACTTCAGAAATAAGGACACACACAGACTGGAAGTGAAGGCGGGAGTGTGGGGGATAAAAGATAGCCCATGTGAGTGGAAATGAAAAGAAAGCTGGAATCGCTCTTCTTCTATCGATGATATAAAACTAGAAATGGACCACAAGAAAAAAAATGGGGAAACCTACCAAAACATGAGAATTAAACATCATGCAGCAAAACGACCAATGGGCCATTGAATAAATCAAGGAGAAATCAAAATATACTTGGAGACAAATGAAACAGAAATATGACATACTAAAATCTGTGGGATACAGCAAAAGTGGCAGGAAAGTTCATAGCAATACAGGCCTACCTCAAGAAACAAGAAAAATCTCCAATAAATAATCTAACTTTACAGCTGAAAGAACTAGAAAAAGAAGAACAATTAAAGCCCCAAATTAGTATATGAAGGAAATAATAAAGATCAGAGCAGAAATAAATGAAGTAGAGAATAAAATAAAACAGAAAAAAACCTGTGAAACTAAGAGGTGATTTTTTGAAAAGATAAATAAAGTAGGCAAGCTTTAGCCTTGGATAAAAGAAAGAAGGCTCAAATAAATAAAATTAGGAATGAAAGAGAAGTTACAATTAATACCACAGAAATACAAAAGATCATAAGAGACTACTGCAAACAATTATATGCCAACAAATTGGGCAACCTGGAAGAAATGGATACATTCCTAGAAACATACACTCTTTCAAGACTGAATTATGAAAAAATAGAAAATTTAAAGAGACCAATTACTAGTAAGGAGATTGAAACAGTAATAAAAAAAATCTTCCATCAAACAAAAGTCCAGGACCAGACAGCTTCACTGGTGAATTCTACAAAACATTCAAAGAAGATTTAAAACCTAGTCTTCTCAAACTCCTCCAAAAAATTGAAGAGGAGGGAAGTCTTTTAGACACATTTTACAAAGCCAGCATTACCCTTATACCAAAACCAGACAAGGACACCATTAAATAAAGAAAACTACAGGCCAGTATCACTGATGAACATACATGCAGAAATTCTCAACAAAATATTAACAAACTGAATCCAGCAACACCATGACCGAGTGGGATTTATTTCAGAGATGTAAGGATAGTCCAATATTTGCAAATCAATCAACATGATACAACAAAATGAAGGATACAAATCATATATTACCTCAATAGATGTAAAAAATGCTTTTGACAAAATTCGACATTTACCTGTGATAAAAATTCTCAACAAAGTGAGTACAGAAGGAACACACTTCAACATAATAAAGACCGTATATGCCAGATCCACAGCTAACATCATATTCAATGGTGAAAAGCTGAAACCTTTCTCCTCTAAGATCAGGAACAAGACAAGGATACCCATTCTAGCCACTTTCATTCAACATAGTATCAGAAGTCCTAGCCACAGCAATTAGGCAACAACAAAAAATAAAAGGCATTCAAATCAGAACAGGAGAAATAAAACTCACTATTTGCAGATGACATGATATCGTGTGTAGAAAACCCTGAAAACTCCATTAAAAAAAAATCTGTCATAATTAATAAATCAGTAAAATTACAGGATACAAAATCAATATACAGAAATCTGTGGCATTTCTATACACTAATAATGAACTATCAGAGAAATAAAGAAGCAATCCCATTTATGATTGCATTAAAAAGAATAAAATACCCCAGAATAAATTTAACCAAGGAAATGAACAACTTGTACACTGAAGACTATGACACTGATGAAGGAAACTGAAGAAGACACACACACACACAAAAGATATTCCCTGCTCATAGATCGGAAGAATTAATATTGTTATAACGTCTATACTGCTCAAAAAAAGATCTATAGATTTAATATAATCCTTAACAAAATTCCAATGTCATGTTTCACAGAACTAGAACAAATAATTCTAAAATTTGTATGGAACCACAAAAGATCCCAAACAGCCAAAACAGTCCTGAGAAAGAAGAACAAAGCTGGAGGTATCATATGTCCTGATTTTAAACTATACTACAAAGGTATAATAATCAAAACAGTATGATACTGGCACAAAAACAAACACACAGATCAGTGGAACAGAAGGGAGAGCCCAGAAATAAACCCACATATTTATGGTCTGTTAATAACAAAGGAACAAAGACATAAAATGGAGAAAGGACAGTCTCTTCAATAAATGGTGTTGGGAAAACTGAACAGCCACATGCAAAAGGATGGAACTAGACCACTATCTTACACCATGCACAAAGAGTAACTGAAAATGGACTAAAGACTTCTGACTATAAGACCTGAAACCACACAATTTCTAGAAGAAAATACAGGCAGTAATCTCACCGACATCAGCCTTAGCAATGTTTTTATGGACCTAACTCCAAAGGGAAGGGAAACAAAAGCAAAAATAAATAAATAGGATTACATCAAACTTAAAAGCCTCTGTACAGTAAAGGGAACCGTCATCAAAATGAGAAGGCAACCTACTGAATGGGAGAAGATATTTGCAAATCATATATAAGGAGTTAATATCCAAAATATATGAAGAATTCATCCAAATCAATGACAAATTACCAAACAACCACATTTAAAAATGGACAGGAGATCTGAATAGGTACCTTTCCAAAGAAGACACACAGATGGCAAACATGCCCATGAAAAGATGTGCAACATCACTATCAGGAAAACAGACCAAAACCACAATGAGATACCACCTCACATCTGTTAGAATGGCTACTATCAACAAGACAAAAATAACAAGTGTTGGAGAGGATGCAGAGAAAAGAGAACGCTATTAGTGGGGTTGTACATTGGTGCAGCCACTATGGAAAACAGTATGGAGATTCCTCAAAACATGAAGACTAGAACTACTATATATGACCCAGGTATGACACTTCTGTGTATTTATCTAAAGAACACAAAAACACTAATTTGAAAAAGATATATGCACCTCCATGTTCACTGCAGCATTCTTTACAAGAGCCAAGGTAGGAAAACAACCTAAGTGTCCACTAATGAGTGAAGAAAGAAGATGTGGTGTATGTATATACACATGGACTGCTACCTGTACAATGGAATACTACTCTGCCATGAAAAGGAAGAAAGTCCTGCCATTTGCAAAAACATGAGTGAACCTTGCAGGTATTACACTAAGTGAGATAAATCAGAGAGAGAAAGAAAAATACCAATCACTTCACTCATACATGGAATCTAATAAAACAAAGGAAATAAAACAGAAAGAAATTCATGATACAGAGAGCAGATTAGTGGTTACTGAGGGGGAAGGTAGGTGGGGTATGGGAGAAATGGGTGAAAGAAATGGGTCAACTGTATGGTGATGGATGGGAACTAGACTTACGGTGATGATCACTTTGTAGTGCACATGGATATTGAACTACAATGCCGTACACCTGAAAGTTACACAATAAGAAAAGAAAAGAAAACGTGAGGTTTGAGTGACTTTCTTCAGGTCACACAGCCAATAAGGGTTAGAGCAAGATTTGAACCCAGGCAATCCTGCTTCAGCCTCCAGGCTGCAAACTACTCCCCTAAGCTGCCCTGTTCCCATAACGTCGTCATCCACCTGTCTGGGGAGAGTGAGGCAATGTCAAGCCTTCCTGGTACACAAACCCAGAGCACCTCTAGCAGTTATAAGGTGATGGGCATTTTTCTAACTTGTCCACATGCAAAAGACTGTCTCATTTTAATTTCTTTCCAGGCATTTCACTGCTTGGCTCAACACACGTTAAGAACTGAGCCCTTGAGATTTAATGCTTGTTAAGCTGGTCGTGCTAAAAAGGAAAGTTGCTTAGAAATTTTAAATTACCCATTACTTAGAGCCAAATCCCACAGCCGTGCCCTTCAGGAAAGGTTCGGGCCAAGCCCTCTAACGGTGCTTGTAGAATGAACAAGTGCCCAAGTTCTTCCCTGGGACTAGAATCGTGTTGTCACCATGAGACAGAACCTGGAGATCCTTTTTCCAACAAAGTACCTTGTTGTAATGACATCTGCATTTTGGAAGTGTATTCATCATGGGGTCAGTTAGCTACAGGCGTATAAAATCGCACTGGCCCAGTTTAAGCAATAAAGGGGGTTTTATTTGGAGAATGCTCCAGGACAAAGTTTGGGTCCCCAAAGTCAGGAAGTATTGCATCTCACGGGATTGGAAGAGAGGAACCAGAAAGCCAGCAGGCACCGAGGAAGCATCACCCTGACTCTTCCAGGACTGCTGGGCCTTGCCTCTGCTTCTCTGCAGGTCCACCTTCCCTCACTCTTCCTCATGAGATCGGCTTTCTCAGCTCTGCGCACATTGCAGGAAATGGACTCACGGTCCAAAAGTGACAGAATTTCCCGGCTCCGTCTCTAGAAACCAATTCCAAAGCCTCAGGGGAGAAGCTGACTGGCCGGCTTGGGTCAGGCGTCCACTCCTTGTCCAATCAGCAGTGGCCGAAGGGCAGTGCACCTACAGTAAACACGGCTGTGTGCATCTCACCACGTGCTTTTTCACTCCCCATTTTAGTAGCAATTAGTGCGTGCCTCGTGGTGGTGTCAGTGATTTTTATAAACTGAAGTTCAGAATTTTGCAGCTCATATTAATCTCCACCACTCCAGGAGTAGTTTTGAATCTTCAATCCTGTCATCTCATATCATTGGTCCCTCCCAGACTGTATTGACTGCAGACTAAAGCAGTAGCTTTCTGTTGTCCATTCATATTTGTGGGCAGGGATTGTGACAGACAGGACAAACAGACAGTCAGACAGTCGGACAGCTGATCCCAGCAGCTGTCCGACTCCCAAGGACTGATGAGTTGTGTGTTCTGCGGCCGACAGGGGGAAGTGCTGGCCCCAGGCTGCTGTCACATCTGAAAGGTCCAGGACAAAGTCTGCACCCCTCTGCTCTTAAAACCCAGTGTGTACCTCCTCGGGAGAATGGGTCAGAAAGCAGATGCAGGATGAAAGCAAAGCCCTGCCTTTCTTGCACACCCAGGCACAGAAGCGCAGCCTGAGTCCCTGACACATGGCTTTTGGTCTTTCTCCTCGGTGCCCTTGCAGACCAACCTGGTCCATTCATTTCAGCTGGTGGAAATTAAATCACAAACTGAGCTCATGACGATCCATATGGGAAGTTCCTTCTGCCAGATGTTTAGCCTCACGCCTGGAGGAAAGGGTGGGAGGAACTCCTGGGGTCTTGTTAATGACAGACGAAAAGGAGGGGAGGGGAGAGGACAGATGTGGGAGAACTGACAGGTGGTGGCGGAGCAAAGAGGGCACGTGATGGTGGTACCAACCACCCGTCCCTTTACTGGCAGACGATTATTGAGCACCTCCAGGCACCAGATTCTGTGTCAGGCCCTGGGATGCAGCAGGCAACAGGACAGAGGCGGCTTCTCCAAGAAAGAGGGTGTCAAGAAGAGCCAGCTAAGTGGGGCCGTGGGGGAAGAGCATTCCTGGCAGAGGGCGCAGTAGGGGCAAAGATTCTGAGGGAAGAAGAGACTGTGGTGTCCATCACAGAATGGCTGGCGTGGCCGGAGCTGGATGATCCTGGAAAGGAGGTGTGAGGTGAGGCTGGAGAAGTCGCCGGGAGCCACACTCAGGGCTGCGGGGCATAGTGAGGTGTTAGGTTTTCTTTACTCTTAGCATAGTAGAGATAATGCCAGTTAGAGCGGTGATGACAAACTCCATTTTTGGCCCTTAGAGTTTGAAGTGATAGAGTGGACACGCCTCCCAAGGGGTCACTGGAACCGGAAGACGGTGCCCCAGGGAGAGAAGCTGGAGCTTGGCTTATGGCAGTGAGCAGCGCCTGCCTGGGAGCCAGGAGCCAGACGAGAGAGGAGTATTGAGAAAGGACCGGTTGGAGCTGAGGCCTTCCAGCGCAACCAGGCTTAGAGTATGGGGAGGAGCGAGGCGGGGGCGGGGGTGGGGGGTGTGCAGCGCTGTGATACGAAGGGAGGAGCTGTCGATGGGGAAGTGGAGAAGCAGGAAGGTAACCATGCCTCCTCAGCTGGTGGAGGAGGGACTGCCAGATGGAAGAGCTTTGCCTGGGACGTCAAGCATGGAATGAGGACTGAGAAAGGATTGTGGACTCGGAATCATTGTGGACTCAGAGAAAATCATTTCAGTGAAGAGTTGTGGGAATTCTAGGACTCTTATGGATGCAAGGAACAGGAAACTACCAGGGGTTTGACTTCAGGCATGGCTGGATCCAGGGGCCCGAATGATGTCATCAGGACACTCTCTCCATCTCTCGGCTCCCGCTCCCCACATTGGCTTCATTCTCAGGCAGGCTGTACCCTGCAGAGTGTAGCAAATGGCCGCTGACAGCTCCACCCCTCCATCCTGCCAGCTCAGCAGTGCCAGTTTAAAGAGAGCCCCTCTCCCCGTAGTTCCTTTCATGGGCTCAGCTTGGAAGGATGCTGTCAGCACTGGCCTAATCTGCACGGCCTGAAGGTGGTGGCAGGGTTGCAGGGGGGAATCCTCAAAGGGAAAAATCAGGATTTTGTTCCTAGGAGAAGAGGAGATGGAGTTTGGGTGGGCAAAACAACGACTCTGCGCCAAGGAGCCAGGTTGCAGGGGGCTGAGGGAGGGTGGTGGTGAGGAGGATGCAGTGTCTGCACTGAGAGGAGGGAGGAAGTAGGACTGCGATTGGAGGGAGCCGCAGGATCAGGCCGGTTTCCTTTTTCTTGCAGGTGGGAGAGATTTATGCATGTCTGCAGGCGGAGAGCAGGGAAGATGCCAGTGGGGAAGGAGTGATTGAAGATTCTGGAGAGAGGAGATAATTGATGGAACCAGGCCCCCTAGGAGACAGGCAGAAAATGGAGTGCAGGGTGCAGTACGATATGAAAGGAGGAAAAACAGAATGTCAGTGTCATCAGCTGCTGTTTTTCCAGAATGACACCCTTAGATGGCAGTTAGCCGTGGCGTGGCTGTGAGGACCAGCGGCTGCTTGAGGCACACGCTGAGCTTTTATATTCTACAAGGAAGAGAGCAGGGCCTTCAGAGCCACCCTCCTGAGGGCCAGCCCCGTCTTCGCCATATGTTCCGGGCGCGGCTTCAGCTCTTGGAACCAATTTAGCCACATGTAGAAGTAAATTTTTTACCTTGTGAGATACCTAGGTGGTTTGGGTTTTTTTAATAGAATTTCCCCCTGCTTATAAAAATAATACACGTAGGGGACTTCGAAGGTAAGGTGTCAAAGGAGAAAATAAAAGTCTTTCCTCTTTACCACCCAGAAACGATGGTATTCACACGAGGGGACACGCTGCCCACACTAGGAAATGCCGCATCGAAAATGGCAACTCTGGCATTTTTTTTTCCATTTAACATTCTTTCAGAAGCCTTCCACCTGCCATTCGGTAGCCTTTGAAACCCCCAACAGGGTCACATGACTGTGACAGCCTCAGGAGCAGACCCTGGGGCTGCTGACTCAGATGCCACAGGCAGCAGCATGGCCCTGAGTCTTGTGAGTTTGTGAAGTGGAGAATGACTTCCGGCAAAGGTTCTAACACAGCAAGAGTGTTTCTTAATTTGCATGGTGGTTGCTTTTCTGAGGAAATGCAAAGTATATAGAAAAATACTTTGCTCTTTGTAAAACAACCAGGTTCCAGATTCAGGTAACTGTAAATGATTTTTTTTTACCAACCGGAATGGTGCCTGAGACAGGAGACCATGCTCTGCGCAGGACCACCCTGTGCAGGGTGGGACAGTAGCAACCCTGGTCCCACCCTTCAAGCCAATAGGGCCAACGGGCACTGAGCCAGCCAAGAGCATCAAACCACCCACGGGTTTCTAGACTGTCCCCCCCAAGGGTGACCCCACCCAGCTTAAAGCCACTGGATGAGACGATCTCTAAGGGTCCCTGCTTCCACATGCACGACTAATGGGGCTTCACTCCCTCCTGTGTTCTTCCTTCCAGAAAATGCCTGCGCCACCTGGACACCTCCACGGCCCCGGTGGCGCAGCGAGCAGGAACACACACTCCACGAGTCGTGGAACTCCCTCACCGCCTTTGACCGATCCCACCGGGGGCGCATCTCCAACATGGAGTTCCAGGGGGACATCCTGGACGAGTTCCTGCAGCAGCAGAAGAGCAGCCGGCGCAGTGACCAGCCGCCCCCCTGGAAGGAGGAGAAGCTGGAGTCCATGATAGGGCAGGACCACAGCTCCCTGAAGCCAGATGACGGGGGTGACTTTAAAATCCCCGTCTTGCCTTATGGACAGCACTTGGTCATCGACATCAAGTCTACATGGGGGGACAGGCACTACGTTGGCCTTAACGGAATAGAAATATTCAGTTCCAAGGGCGAGCCGGTGCAAATTGCGAACATTCAAGCCGACCCCCCGGACATCAATATCTTACCAGCCTATGGGAAAGATCCCCGTGTGGTCACCAACCTCATCGACGGGGTGAACAGGACCCAGGACGACATGCACGTCTGGCTGGCCCCCTTCACGCTGGGAAAGTCCCACTCCATCTCCATGGACTTCATGCACCCTTGCCAGGTTGCCCTGATCAGAATTTGGAACTACAATAAATCGCGGATACATTCCTTCCGCGGCGTGAAGGACATCACGATGCTGTTAGATGCGCAGTGCATCTTCCAGGGAGAAATCGCCAAGGCCTCGGGAACCCTGACGGGAGGTACAGTATGTCTGTAAGAATGCTCTCGAAGCCCCTGCCTGCTACTTGCTGAGGCTCTAAGGAAAAGCTAAACCTGGTGGCTCACCAGTGACAGAGAGAACCTGTAGGGTAGGGAGGGTGCAGGATATAGAAGGGAGAGAAACTTGGGGAAGATATTGGTTCAGGGGAAGCCCAGCCCCAGCCTGATCCCAAGGGGTCTCTGGAGCAGAAATTACTGGGTCTGTCCTGCGCAAAGCAGCAAGGCTTTAGAACCTGCAGGCTCCCCTGGTTGGGGGCGTAACTCCCACAGCCTTCCAGGCAAGGCCCCCTCCTTGTATCAGCAGGGATCTGGGTGGGACACCAACAGCATCAGCTACAGTGCCTCCCACGCCTGACAAACGTCCCTTACTTCATGATGGATCCCAGTGATGCTCATTAGATTAGATCCCTTCATTAGATCAATGTGGTTCTTACAGTCCGTGGATTCCATTTGCAAATGCACGGAGAATAGTAAGGCTCGGTGACACAGATGCAGACCGGTTAGCGGTTTAGGATGTCACTGCCCAAAGGTTGATGGTTTAGGTTCCTGCTCGGAACATCATTGGGATTTGGGGTGAGCTGACTCTCCTGTCTTCCCGGTGCCCCTTTCAGCTCCAGAGCACTTTGGAGACACAATCTTATTCACGACCGACGAGGACATTCTCGAGGCCATCTTCTGTTCTGATCAGACTTTTGATTTGGACGTGGAGAGCCTGTGCGGCCTGCAGTGCGAGGAGGCGCTGAGGAGACCCAGCACGGCCGACGGCCAGGGGGAGGAGAGGCCCTACACCCAGGCCGGCTCGTGGGCTGATGACCGGGTAGGACTGGAGGGAGGGGGCGCTCCTGGACAGATTTCTTCTCCTGACTCAGAATAGCACAGGAGTAATGAAGATGGATATCCTTTAAGCTGCTGGTGCTCCTGTTTTTGACATTTCCCATTTTTATGCATCATTTTTTGTTCTGTATGTCATATTTCATCCTCTAATTATTATTTTTTTTCTTCTAACTGAAGTGAAGAAAGTCTTCAAATTTTAATCAAAGCTAGGAGAAATCAGTTCTGTGTCATCTCTGTAATTTAGAGGTTGGCAGTCTCAGGGGAATTTTTGCTTTGGGTTTTGTTTTCATCACTCACTGTAGTTTTTGATGGAAGGGCTCAAAATACTTTTAATAGGCAGACTGAGAATTAAAGTAATGATAATCCAGGCAATCATTTCTTGGGCACATAAACCATGGTCCAGCGGTGGAGCACCGTGCCATCGTGTTTAACCCTCCTGGCAACCGTCAGGATAAAGACAATTAATACCCCCGTTTAAGAAACCAAGGCTCACACAGGCTCAAGAACTTGCCCAGTGGCACGCAGTGGGGGAGTAACAAGGCTAGAACTTAAATGCAGGACTCCAAAACTTGTGCTTTTAATGGACAAATTATCAAAAATGAAAGAGAAGCGGGGAGGGTGTACCTCAGCGGCAGAGTGCATGCCTAGAATGCACAAGGTCCTGGGTTCAATCCCCAGTACCTCTGTTAAAATAAATAAGTAAATAAGTAAATAAATAAACTTAGTTACCTCCTCTCCAAAACAAACAAAACCAATCAAAACAAAATATTTTTTTAAAAAAATGAAAGAGGACTTTCAGGGCAAGGATCAGCCCAAGTCAAAGACCAGTACTTAAGGCAAAGAGACTGCAGGGTCCCCAGGAGAAAAGAGGAGATGGTTAGAGAGAGTGGGGGAGAAGGGTGGGAACAACCAGGAACCAAAGGACAGCAGGTTCGGCCATGGGAAGGTCACGACAGAGGCGGTGCTACAACATGGGGAGTCGGTCCCAGCATGTTCACGGGCAGAGCACCAGGGGAGGTGGGGGAGGGGTGAGGCCCTCTCCCCCTTCCAGGAAAGCAGCTGCCACTCCCCTCAGACAAGCTAGTCCATTGTTGACGGTAATCCTGATTTTTTTCAAATAAAGCCGGAAATCTACATTTTTATGTAAAATCTCCCCATTAAAAAAATGTTGGCCACTAATTCAAAATGTTTTCAAACCTTCTGCAGGCCACGAAACATGTCTGCGGTCTGGCTTCTCTGCGTGGGCCTCCATTTGGGAGATGGCTTTGAGGCCTTCCATTTGCCCAACATTTTCCTAACAGGGAAATCCCTGCTCAGGGGCTCTGATCAGATCCAGTCCTCTGAGGGGCAGGGAGGGATCACTCTCTCTGCCTTAAAGATGAGGAACTCGAGCTCAGGGAGGCCATGTCAGGGTCACA